CTTTGTTTGCTTTTTACAGTTTTCCAGAAAATTGTCATCACGAGCAGTTGTTTTTTCTGTCTTTCTTTCTGTGAAATTGATACATCAATCTACCTTGTTTTCTATTTCACTGACATATATAACTGCTGTTGTGACAATCCAATCACAAAGACAAGGATCCTTGAAACATGATGACCTTACAATCGTATCACATCTAAAAATACAACCTTCATGGGGAACACAGTTTGACTCCAGTAACAAAAGATTTACAAAGGTTTGAGTCTTCGAAATTGAATAAATACTTTCTTTTCCTCGTTTTACGAGACTTTTCCTTAATACCCTTGAGCGTCTTGAGTTTAAGCCTTGGTGAATCAATAATATATGAGGTCCATATTTCACTGATTTGAATCTGCGTGTTCTCTGATACACTTCTATCCTGTAGAGATCTGATCAAGCCAATAAGAAAATACCCCCCATGGATGGTGCCATGATCATGTCATTATTGCCGACAAAATCGACCACAGCCAAGAATACGTCGACCCACGACTAACATTATTTCCTCCACCATAAGTTATCGCTGCTGTTTTGTAACAGGCAAGGTAAACATGTTGTCTGGCCGTAGCGTACTGACAGGGAAGCCATATTTGGTAGACTGGCCTGGCCTTCCTCCCTCGATGAGAGCCAAGAAGATGTAAACAACAGCGGTAGCTTGAAGGACTGTAGCTTGCTGCCTATCTCCTCATATCAGCATCTGATAGCACACTTGTTTGTTGTCAGTAGCTCAGGGCAGGTAGCTCTGTTCTAGCCCTAATAAATTTGTCATATCTCTTGGTTAGAAATAGTTTATAGACACAGTACATTTTATGCTATTTGTAAGATTTTAGTGTTTAATTTCCTTGTTAGAATAGCTTAATTGTTGTGTGGCATTACCCTTGTGTACTTGTTGGGATGACTTGGCAAGCAGGAAAATGGTGTCAGTGAAGTTGTTGGGTTGTGGTAGACTTACATTTAGTCTCTGAAATGAACATATTGTACAGACAAAAACAGCTTTGTTATTATAGTTATAAAACTATAATAATAAGGAGCCAATAGACTCGCTTCATTTTCAGATACTGCATTAATCTAGACTTGCCAAATATTATGGACTTGCATCGGCTGTATTGGATGTATATTTGTACCAGTGTCCATATGACAGACTTGAGTTGTGGTATCAGGTTGAAATGCACAATGTTGGGGTGGGATTTTGTCTGCTGGAATAGATGGAGGAAGTGGATGATTTTGAACATACCTGATAAACTATACAGACCTGGATCTGGGAAGTTTAACTGGGGACATGGTAGTGACATTTGGAGAATTACAATTTGTGGTATATAATATTGTCAAGTTTTAGCACATTCATTGGGGAATACAGGAGGAAATAACAGCTTTTGTTTTAAAGCACTTTCTTAAGAGTATCAGGGTAGATTTTCAAGAATCCATCTGTCTGAAAACTTGAAGTAGAACTGAATGCATCATCAAGTTGTACTGTTCTTTGACACCTTCAAATATAATAATTTCCTGGTCTGTATTGTTCAGTGATAGAATTTAAGGGGCATCTTTGATGTTTGCAGCAATAATATTTGAATTTAGAGTCGCCCGAAACTAGTAAACATTCAGGTCATGACAAGGACCTCTTTACTTCCATTCTCAATTATGAACAGGCAGATGGTCCTTGAATAAGCTGTCACGACAAGTCATAGTGACAGTCATTCGGTTTTTTACTGAAATACAAAATGAAATGGAATGATGTTTTACCCTAAAAGGGATACCAAGTTCAAGGATAAAAACACCCAGAAAACTTAAGTATAAATCTGGTTGTTCAGCAGTGTTAAATTGACTGGTTTGTCGTCTTATATGAAGATGCCATTTGCTTTCAATCTTAGGTATGACAGTGCTGTTATTTATTGACTTAGCTGAAATTTCTGTCAAATTGATATTGTTGGCTGAAAATCTTGCTACCCAACTTTTACCTAAGATCTTAAGAAACTAGGAATTTTATCAGACATTCCGTTTTCATACAGTTTCCTTTGTGATGTATGACTGTTTAAGGTTAACACAAGTATATAGTAACTTATTAAAGTCCATGAACTGTTATTTTCCCATCCTCCAAGCCCTTACTGTGATGATATAGCGCTAAATGAGACAAGATTTTTCATAAGATCTGAATCTCCCATCTCATCTCCCATCCTTTTCAATTTATATAGAATTGCTTGTTTCTATCAAAATTATGTATAAAAAAGCGTTAGTCTACTGATTAGAGATGGGACTATTGATCTAATATAGTGTGAACAGCTGGTAGGTAATTAGGCTTGGTCTTCCTGTGTCAAGTCGGTGTCGACAGTTATGGCAGGTTCGACTAAATGATAGCATGTTCATGGACTGTGTTGTTACTTGTCCAGATGAGCTTTGTGAAAATGCCAGTGAAATATTCATACCAATAAGTACAGGGTTATTCTGGTTCTAGACATCGATGGTCCCACTGTCTATTATTACACTATGTTAAATCGACCAAACTGGTGGGCCTTTAGATAAACCCTGGCCAGTACTACAAACTTATGGCTCATATTAATATTGCACCCAGACAGAAAATAAGTTTATATTGAGTTTATTGCTTGCACATGTATTTGTTGGCAAAGTAGATCAATCCCAGGGAAGATATCTCATATTGCCCTGTACTCCCCCAATGAATAAACGCATATTGGCAGACTGTTAATATCCACAATTTGTAATATCACCCATTCTACCTTTATTAATTGCATAACATTTGTTTATCAAATAATAAGAAAACAATATTTATGCTTGCTACATTTTTGATTATGTCAGGATGCATGGAAATATAGAACAATAAGTTATAACCAGCGCATATGTGTACATTGTATTATATTAGTACATGCATCTGTTTTGTGTGTCAGGCAAATTATCAGTCCTTGCAAGTTTGATTTATTTGTTCGTACATCAATTTGTTTTATGATATATTTTAACCAAACAGTAAATGACTACACTCGATACATGAAGACAGTTTGGATAGATAAAGACCTGTAGACGTATACTTTAATGGGCATCTACCATGCAGTGTAGTCTCTCTTTGACACTGGATACAGCTAGGGGTGAAAGGGTGATCAGCACCTGTAACCTTAAAGCTCTCCTACACTACGAGATCACAGTGATTCATTGTTTTTACTTGCAGGCTACGTGTTCCAGTGCACACTATTTCTCTGTACGAAACAAACATTGTATGTAATAAAATGGTATTGATTGTAGACTGGCAGTTTATCTGTACGTTGTTCCTTGTAGTTATTCAACCTGGTGAACCTTCTTGTCACTTGGGTGCTGTCCATGCCACACTGACAAGACCACATGCGCTTGGTTGTAAAAATGCCCTGGCTCATAACACTGGCAACATTTCTCTGTAGCCCCTGTAGAAAATGAATACATGACACTTTTTGTGGACAGCATCTTCTGTTATTCTTTGCTTGCTCCTTCATCATGTGTATGCTTTGTAAGTGCATGTATTCATGTTCTCCCAACTTATAAATTCCTATCAAAGACCCCCCCCACCCCGTAGAAAATTACCAACATCTTGGAATACATCTTGGTGTCTGTACAAAGAGCCTGTTGCTACCTGACGTCGGTCTGTGCCAAAGCCTTTATGTTCATTACATGACTATCCTGAACTATCCATTTCAGGAGAATTTAGCGTTAAGATAAGAATAGTTATTAGGTTACTGCTACTAGACCACTTGTGAATAGGGCTGTAACAAGTGGAGAATACGATACATATCAGGAATATGAAGTAGCGATTACAAATAACTATTCCTGAATGCAATCACAAAATCACAGACACCGACTGCAAGACAGAAACTGTATTTCCTCTGTGAGGAGCTTTGTCTTGTGTCCTGGCTGTTCGTGTAGGAAATACAGAAATAGACTCTCCTGGTTGTGTGGAGATGTTAATGTTGTACAAGTAATGCAGGCTTTGAGTGTGGTAGGCACAGGTATTCTGGTTTAAAATAGGTCCCCAGCGACCTTTGCTTTTATCAGGTGGCTAAGTGGATCCGGTGGTCAGTGGTCAGTGGTCATTGTACCCTGATGGCATAGTACTTAACTATTTTACAGGCCTATGTCATATAGCTGGTCTATTGTTGAGTTCAGTGTGAATAACACTGTCCACCCCCCAAACCCTCACTCACTTTGGATTGCCCCAGTTAAATTCCCACAGATTATGAAACAGGGTTTCACTGACCCAGGTTCTATCTTGACTGAGACAGGAATCCTGTGTATTTGGCTTACTCAGAAATATTTGTGACTCACATACTCAGACCCCCTGCTCCATGCCGGTAAGTCTGCTCAGGAAATAAAATAGGGGGTAGCTGCTACAATAGGGACAGGTTAATTATTTATTGGCAAGTTATGGACAGATTAGAAAGGGTAAGAAATAGATTATGAATGATTACAATTTGATGAGTGTTATGGTGGTCTGGAGTTGCAGGAGGTTAGTTTGAGTGTCATTGTGACACTCAAATAATGATCCTGAAGAGACCATGTTGGAAGAAGGCTTCATGAAGTCCTAATTGCATAGAATTGATGTTCTTTTTATTTTAATGGAAAGGGTAGCCAAATGGATATGTTGGATATGTTGGAATGTACTAGTACGGGTTTGATTTTCCAGTGATCTTGGAGCTAAAGGCAATTGTAACTCCCATACCTAAAACATAAACTTACAATTATCATAGGTAAGATCGTTTTGTACAACGAGGTCCAAGGCTCCTTCCACAAAATCATGTCCAATCTACATACTGTCTTAGTCATTATTAAGGAATGGGAGTTGCTAACATCTTAGCACTGAGATAGCTTTGTTGACAGAGGTCCAGATTGGGCCCTTTTGTGTGCCCTTGCCTTGAAATAACTTTACTATTGTTTCTGAGAGTATATATGCTGGTCAGTATATTGTCAATGTTGTAACATGGTGTACTTTGTTCCAGGGCGCCAGAGATATTGCTGGGCTTGCCGTTCTGTGAGGCTATTGACATGTGGTCCCTAGGATGTGTCATAGCAGAGCTGTTCTTGGGCTGGCCCCTCTATCCAGGGTCGTCAGAATATGACCAAGTGAGTACCTTGTATTAGCTTAACTCATGTTTTTACATTTGTTTGTTTTATTTATTGTTTTACAGGTTATGCCAAAACTATGAAAAGGTCAACATATAAAGTTAATAATATTTAAAAATGGAGGTAAATAAAATATGAATGAAACTACTCTAACACTGGTATCATTTGAGGGCTATAATTCTGAACCAACTGTCAATGCTTCAGTTTTGCTTCAAATTGGAACGGATTAAAACTGACAGAAAAGGTCAACATCTTTGTCTCGGTCACACAGGACTAGCTACGTACAAACTAAGAGGACTAGTAAAATGAAGTTCCCAGAGGACTAGTCTCAAACAGACAAATTTCTAAGGCTGTAGTATTATTCTCTTCTCTAACATTTGTTTCAGAAAGCAATCCTTGCAAGGTGTTTGCAGGGACTTGATGAAAGTGACGGTGCTATTGATCACATGTGACATGAGTTTTGATCTGTTTCAGATTCGTTATGTTTCCCAAACCCAAGGGCTACCTGCTGAACACATGCTTAGCTCGGCCACTAAGACGACGCGCTTCTTTGTGCGAGACAATACTGATAGTAGTTACCCATTCTGGAGGTTGAAGGTCAGTGTGCTACAATGTATCAAGTACATGCCTGTCCATCTGTCAGGGTTTTGTATCAGTTCTATTTTATGGACATTGACTGATTGTTAGATCTGTCCTAACAAAAGTAATGAAATGTTACAAATGTCTGGCTCAAACAAAACACCCTGTTTCGGTTTGATGCACTATGATAAATGATTACTACTATTTCAGTGTTCAAATTTAGTCAAGCACCCTATCAATCTCAAATATTCAAAAAAATGGTTACAGGGGTTTATCTAGGATTCCAAACAGAAGTTACATTGGCAAACAAGTTAGGGAAGAAATCATTTTGTTCAATATTGGGATTTTTGGAAGGTTTTTTTTTTTCCCTTTTCTTAAATTCAAAGGTATTTTACCAATGTAAATAATACTCTACAACTAAGAATGAAAGCTTCTTCCCCTTTATCATGTTTATGTGTTATCAGAGAAGTACAAGTCCTTGCATGGTCGTACCATTATTAATGTAAATATATGAACATGAATTGGGAAGGATTTTATATCCAATTTAGGAATTTTACTGACATTTGCTAAAGACTATCGGATATTGGTCTCTTGGCAGGCCCAGATAAATCCCTGGGTTATGACAAGTGCCCCTGAGTTTCTTTCTCATTTTCGAACACTGACATTGTTTCAGTTTATATTTAATATATGTTTGTCACGATGTTGGACTAGCTGAGACTTGTGTTACATGTACAGCCGGGTTGGATGACACCAGTGTGTTCCTGTTTCAGTCCCCTGAGGAACATGAAGCAGAAACTAAAATCAAGTCCAAAGAGGCGAGGAAGTACATCTTCAATTGCCTGGACGACATTGGGCAGGTGGGAATGAGAGTAAATAGCTTTAGCTTTCTTTCCACACACTCTACACACTCTACACACTTTCACACCCTAGCTAGCTAGCTGCGTCTCTGTAGTTAACCTGCTTGTAGAGTATACTTGTTTGAACAGCCTTCCTTTTGCTATTTAAAGCTGTGATTTCCCCATAGTCTTGTAAAATAAATGATATGTTTCATATGAAATTGAGATTAGCTAGAGAGGGTAGTGAACCCTTAGGGTTTGTGAGTTTACTGTCATGCATGTGTGGGGTTGGCTGCATGTGTATGATATGTGATGACCAATTTTATTGATGTAATGCTGCAAAAAGAATTGTTACAAAATGTAATCAAGTTTTTGTTTATCAACTTATATATATGCATTGTATGCTTTGTTTTGATTCTAAGACAGACCCTGTAAGCAGTCTGCAACTTTTACACTAGTCGGAAGCCTGAGTCTAGAAAATTTCTGTTCAGTCTAGTAAGATCAGCTAATAAAAGAACATACAATAACACAAAAGGTACTAAAACAGCTAACCGCCAAGTTCGGGCTGGTAGACTCTTTGGCAGAGACTGCACATTTTTAAAATGATATTTAAAAACATTATATGAAACAATGGGGCAAAAAGCATTCACGTACAATGTGAAATAAACTGTGCAATTTTGTGTTCCAGATCAACGTTCCAACAGACTTGGAAGGAAGTGAACTCTTGGCGGAGAAAGTGGACCGCCGTGAATTCATTGACCTTCTCAAGCGAATGTTGACCTTGGACCAAGAGCGACGCATCACGCCGGGCGAGGCGTTAAATCATCACTTTATAGGCATGGGGCACCTGGTGGATTATGCTCATACCAACATGTACGTTCAGTTTCTGTTCCATCTGGGGATGAGATTGAATCTTGTTGAAGATATGATTCAGGGATAATGCAGTCATATTGTTTTGTCTTTTTGGACTGGTACTATTTGGATATGTGATCACCCTGGAAGACTTACCATCTGATCTGCAGTCTAAGACACCTTAATGTAGCAGAATTGTGCCCCTTAGGTCTGCCAGGAGCCTATGATCACAGATTTAGATCCCAGTTTCAGCCTGATTATGATCCTTGTTTTTATCAGTGCCATTTCATGGCATGTGAGAAAAAAATTGTTTACAAGAAGCAGAGATGTTGTAAAATGTACGTATTATATACATTTTCCAAGTAGAATTGTTGAATGTGCTCTCTATAGAAGTTCATCTTTTGCCATAGCAAATATTTTGTGAATTATCAATGGGGGACAACTCTATATTGTCTCATTTTTTTCAGAACAAAACAAAGTGTTCAGGCAATGGAGATCTGTCGACGACAGAGAACGTCTGTGTACGACATGAACCAGAACAGCAACAGTATGATGACAAACGTGGTGCCGTCATCCAACGGCAACTTCACAGTCACATTCAATAACCAGATAAACGCATTACATTCTCAGGTACTTGCCTTTTTGAATCTGCTCTGCTCTTTTCATTGTTGGGCTTCTTTGTAATGGCCTCCTTAAGGGCTATTTTTTTTTATCTCGGTTGTTTATTCTACAACTAGTAAGGGCCCAAATTGAAATAATCCTGTTGCATATCAATATGGGCAGGATTTGGTAGTCTTGTCCAAGTGACTATTAGATAGTTGGGATGATGGGTTCAAGTCCTCAGTGTTACAAGTGGTTCTTAGATAGTGACTTACTTTAACATTAGACAGACAAACTCAGTCCTGCAAGTTGGTGGAAAGTTGCATCCCTACCTCATGGATAAAGCACTGCTTCGTCTGGCTGAAGACCTGGGTTTGATTCCCAGCTTGCACACCATGTGTGACACCCATTTATATTGTTCCAATATTGCAAAGATCGGCATTAAATCTGATTGTCAATTGCATATTGTATAGATTCATTGGATTGTGCTTCTTGCAAAAGAGGCTATGTGAAGTATTTCCTGTGACGATCATCTCCCAGTCTGATTTTGAACTGATATAATTTTACCTTCTGGCACCTAAATTAATCTGGAACTTTGTTTTAGCTCATTTAGCATGAAACTTAAACCAAGGCCCTGTGAAAGATTTCATGTGATTATCACATCTTCCCGAGGCAAGGGTGTTAACTGACCATAACAGTCCAGTTTCCACCCTTGTCGAACTAGGCTGGAATTCCCAAGTTACATTTTGGTTATGCATAGTCCAATCAAAATCGCATAATGAAGAGACCTGCGGTTCGTAAACCACATGGATTTCAAAATGCAGTTTTCAGTCAAATGCAGGATTTGTAAAGTATGTGTACCGCCGACTGGGCATCGACAGATATTTTGGAAATCTTTTCATCTTTTAATCAAGGTGCTCAAGTTATTTGATGCCCTTGTGGGTTAAGACCCGTTTTATTACTCTATAGATCTTCATCATCGATCAGATCAGATCATCTTGACCGGGCGCCACCATTTTGTTTGAAGCAAATGCAAGTGATGATCGAGCCTTGAAATTTCGAAAATGGTGGAAACTGGATTTTATAGTCAGTTAAAGTCCTTGCCTTGGGAAGATGGACTATCATGGCACCTCAACAGTGTCATTTTGAACAGATAGTTTGTCTCCTCAACATTATTCTGGTATTTTTGCTCATGTAATATTGCTTATGATAATGATCAGCAGATGGCATCTCAGAACCTGGGCGGAACGTCCCACCAGAGCACGGAGATCCCGTATCTCCAGTACTCCCTCCAGTCTGGGACCTACCTGTCATATCAACCCCCCCAGGTGGGACAGCAACTCAACCAGCAGATTACAGCGCAGAGGAGCGGGGCTCAATTCAATCGTACAGACCCCTTCCGACAACCGCTGTGTATGCCATCTCTTGTCGTACCAGCTACCTTGCCAGGTAGGTCACAGCTTTAACCAGCAGTTTAAATAAATGAATGTTTATTTCATTACCAGGGATGTAAATTTCAATAGTTTCATGGGTGTGACCTTATGCTCTTTGAATTTAATGAGATGGACACACTATGGGTTGGCCACCTACTATACTAATAAAAAAAAGACCTGTGTAGATCCAGGTTGGAATAGTCTTCAGTAACCCATGTCGTAAGAGGCGACTATGCTTGTCTTAAGAGGCAACTAACGGGATTGGGTGGTCCCGCTCGCTGACTTGGTTGATACATGTCATCGTATCCCAACTGCGTAAATCTATGCTTATGATATCAATCACTGAATTGTCTGTCCAGACTCAATTATTTACAGGCTGCCATCATATAGCTGGAATATTGCTGAGTGTTGCATTAATCAACAAACAAACAATTTACAAAATAATGAGAAATATATTTCAAATTTTCTCTATCTTGTAAATCTTCCTTTTCATATTATCCTTCATGTAAAACAAACAACTGATGCCATTGGGTTGTTTCCATTGTGTTGATGGAGGACAGATAATATGTATTCATGTGAGTTTTCATTATTGAAATCTTTTCATGAATGTCAGATGTATGAAACTGGACAATTTTGTTTTGAAGCATGGATTGTTATTGTATTGAGTATTCTGTTTCAGGTCTTAATTCCCCCACCCGACCCAGTGGTGTTCCTATGGTAACCCAGGCCACCCAGACCCTGCAGCTACAACCTCAGCTCATCAGTCAGGTAGGTCAGCTCGACCTGGTCAACTTGACCTGGGTCACAGGGTCAGGTCAATGAACAACCATGCTGTACTCATAATTCCACTTTCAGCTCAGGAGTGTCTGCAGATAACAACTTGATTTCCCTGAAATATTTTCAGAACTTGATCATTTGGCAGAGAAACACTGTTTGCCAGTGAGGATAATGTAGATGCGTTTTGGCGTATCTGATTTCCCCCTCACCACTTTAATCTCACATCATACGATATAACTTGCTGTGTTTAGTTTTGGTGTGGATGTTCAGCAATTGAAATGTGTTTAAAGCAAATGAAGAAATGTTTAAAATATGATCTTGAAACCCTCTATATCAGGATGAAAACAGTATTTCCAGCCTGTTTGAGCCATTTGTAACTACTTGGGTATGGGGGCAAATACACCTGGGATGAAGTGTAAGTCATTATATGCAGGTTTCTCAAAGTTCACTGACAAGCTGAATAATCTCCTCAGGATTGTGTAAACTTTCAAGGATTTGACTTTATTTTCATTTTTTCAAAATGTTAGTATTGAATCTTGTGCTCATTTATGGAGACTCCTGCTTGCTACGATATTGAGAACCCTGTGGGGATGTAGTGTCTTGCCTGGGGACCCCTGTTGTTGGGGAAGGTACACGAGGATCTGTGTGTAGGGGATGACAAAGGGGGATGGGCGGTGATAGGGGTTGTGGGGGGAAGGATGACAATCAGTTTGGAGGGGATGACAATAAGGTGGGAGGATGACAAGGGGTAGAAGGAAGGATGACAATCAGTGTGGAGGGGATGACAATAAGGTGGGAGGATGACAAGGGGTAGAAGGAAGGATGACAATCAGTGTAGAGGGGATGACAATAGGGTGGGGGGATGACGGGGTAGAAGGAAGGATGATGGACAGGGTGTGGAGTATGAGGAGAGTATATGAGAGTATGAAGAGGGGGGGGGGGGGGGGAGGTGACAAGGGGGTAGAAGGAAGGATGAGAATCAATGTGGGGGGTATGAGAAGAGGGTGGGAAAGATGAAGAGGGTGTGGGAGAATGAAAAGGGACATGACAAAGGGATGGAGCATGACAAGTGGGTAGGTGGTATAAGGTATGACGAGGGTCTGAAGTAGGATGACGGTGTGCGTGGGATTTACAGTAGAGTATTTGTTTATTTGTAGCAGACTGTTCAGCAGTCTCAGCACCACCTCACCCCTGTCACCATGATTGACAATGGTAGACAAGTGTTCATGGCAGTATGTAACACTTTGGTTATGTTTTCTTCTCTTTTGTAGTAGTACAAGCCTACCTGTTTGAGTGTAGTAACTTGCCTTTAGCTTAGTGCACATCTTCAGACCAAGGACAATAGGCTCTACTCTCTCTTGTGGCCTCAAAGCAGGGAATTATCTAGGTATCTGAACTAAGTGCCCTCGGCATGCAAATTGAAAAAAATGTGTGGGATGGTGGATACTTATTTTATTCAAAATTGTGATGTCTAAAAAGCTCTTATTTTCCCTAATTTTGAGGTATTTTAACATCACAATAATGTATTGTAAAGTATTAAAGCCTCTTCCTCTATTTTGGCCTTGTTATCGGTGATATATTATTACCTCAACAAAGTCATTACATTAGTTATAACTTTATTAACATGAGTTGGGATATATTTAATTCCAATTTTGGAATTTTTAATTGGCATTTGCTCCAGACTTTGGTTGAATATTGTCCTCTCTGAAGGCCTAGATAAATCCCTGCGAAGTACCAACATCTTGAACTGTCATAGTCAAGGTCCATACGGGTGAGGGAGGAATGAATTCTCAACATCACAAAAAATGAATATTAAAAATTTACTTTTTAGAAATTATGTTTAACAGAAACAGCTATTATATTCAGCTCTAGTCGGAATAATTATCATTTATGCAAGCAGTTGAGAAGGCATTTTTCCACTAGCCTCACTTTTAGCTCAAACATTGGGCAGATTTGTGGGGATAGTGGACGTGTGCCTAATATTTGTTTTTGAAAGTGAAATAGACAATAGTATTGATGGCAATGTTTTCAGTGTAGTTATAGCAGCAATGACATACATTTATTGAAGAGTAAATCAGTTAAGAAACCTAAATTTGTGAACCGTTGGGTGGTGGTGGGTTCATTTTCATGGTTTGGTTAGGGAAGGGATATGATTTGAGTTCATAGGTACTTCGCCTGTATGGATGCTGTTATCTGTGTCTTAAACTTTGATACATTAGGCATAAATTACTGTGATAAATTTGCACTGTCAGAAAAAAATATAATCCAAATGAATGTTAAGTAGACTATGTCCTGCCTGCCATCATGGCAGCTGAAGATGTCTAGCGGCATCCAATAGTATGCTCATCAATATGCTTCTATATTCATACATCTTGTCAGTCATATGCCTATTTTCTTCTTTTCTCCTTTGTCAAACCTTTGCTTTGTTTGAGCTCTCATATCAGTTAGTTTCACAGTTTCATCCATAGTTTGTGATCATCAATGTATGCTGCATTCATTACTGAAATTCCATGCTCATTTCGTCTTGTGACATCCTCGGGTATCCAGTGTATATCTTCACTTGACATTCGTATTATCGCTACGATTTTAAATTTTTTTGGTGAAATGCCAAGATCATTTCCATCTCATTAGAAACTTTGTTATGCCGAAGACCCAGGTTCACATGGGTACAATATGTGAAGCTCATAGATAGAAGTTGTCCCCAGCATCTTAAGCTGGTCAAAACAGGCAAATGGATCAGGTGATCAGGCTTTGTATCTTTAGTAATGCATGTCATTGTCCCCTGAGGGCATGGATCATTGCTCATAATGTCAATTGGGCGGGGGGGTTGCCCAGTGGTTAAAGCGTTCGCTCATCACGCCGAAGTCCTTGGATCGATTCCCCACATGGGTACAATGTGTGAAGCACATTTCTGGTGTGCCCCCGCCGTGATATTGCTGGAATATTGTTAAAAACGGTGTAAAATCATACTCACTCACTCATAATGTCAATCACTTGATTGTCTGGTCCAGGCTTGATTTTTTTTTTGGATTTTTTTTTTTTGGATTTTTTTTTTACAAGATGCTAGTATAAATGTTAGCCCAACAGAATGTTTTCTGTACAGGGTGGACTGGTTAGCTGTGACATCCAAGGTGCAGACTACGCCAAATAATGCTAGTCTAATGCAAAACTCAGAAATATCCCAACTGTATGACAGCGACCTTTAAATAAACAAGTCTGGACCAGATATCCAGTGATTGACATCAGGAGCATCGATCCTCTCGTTTTGGATACAATGTCATTGAGTCATCCAAGTCAATTAGTCTGACCACCCGATCCAGTTACTCACCTCTTTTGATAAGCATAGGTTGCTGGGAACCTATATTCTTTCCTGGAAGACACACGGGTCAGTACTGCTTTGTAACTGATAAGTACACCATTGATCGTAGATGGGCCAATGTGAAGAAAGCCTCTTTTGTCCTTTGTGTTTTGAACAAATTCAAGCAAATATCAAGCAAGCTTTAATTTAATTTAGTGCATGAAAATGTGAAATTATGTCTTAAATTTGTCAAAGTGTGACATGGCGTGATGTAGTCTCACAGACATTCTAAGATCTGTACTGCACTCCTACAGTCACTGAAGATGAATTCTTGCGTCTTGCTTATGTTGACTGGCTAATATACTTTCTTTGCTAAGCATTCAAAGGGAGGTAACTCTCATGTGGCCTGTCTCCAGAGAAACTTTCAGTCAGTGTTGTCTCATGTTGAAATTGATACCAATTGTGTGTGTATCATTGTTAGAAGAATGTTTTTCAAATCATTGGTTTTACTCATTTGCTTAAATTGACATTTTGCAGACAGTTTGTGCTATGTTTTATTAGGCTTGTTCATATACATTCTTGTTTCTCCTGACCTGACCTCCCTTATGTCTTCATGTTTTTAAGCATTTACAAATTACTTTTTAAACTCAGATGTCAATTTTGCACTGGATTCCGACTTTTGTATTAGATTAGCAGGGGCACCTTGCCCTGCTCATCATTGCCTTAGACCAGTTTCTCCCTATCTCTAGCCACAGGGGCACAAAAGAGGTCATTTGGTACATCAGAATGTTACAACAGTGTCATAAATTATGTATTTTGGCTATCACCACACTATAAAAATCTTTATTGATTTATAACATACTGAGGAAATCAGATTAAATGGTAATATCCTCACAGTCAATTTTATAGAGTCATGGGAAACAAGAATATATTTTTTAACTGGCCTTAGTTGATATTAAGGAAAGCTGTACTACCTGCGCCAATTACCCGACCACTAACTGCCAGCACTTGAACTAACAGCTGACTTTCAGATGCGCCTGATACTGAGACTGTCCAGTGCTCTAGCTCCCTGTGTGGATTTGTCTGGCGCAACCTTAACCTCAAGCTTATCTAGATATCTAGATATATATATGGCATTATCCAGTTTCATAACATTTTCTCACAAGTTTGAATGTTTACTTGTTACTCTTGATAGATATTGTGAATTCTGTTTGTCATTTCACTGTTTTCATGATGTACGTTTTAAGAATGAGATTTTTTATTTTATTTTCATTTTGGAAGTATATGCAAGAGGCCATTGAGTATAGTTCCAAAAATAAACAGTATCATTCCACCTTTGATACAGACCTATTAAAAGCTTTTTATTCATTCTTTTCATGGACATTATTTTTCTTGTAAATACCAGTTGTAATAACTAAACATGAATTTTTAACATTGAAATAATTTGAAAAGATAATGTTATTTATGAATCCATTGCAGTGAGCGTATTTTAACTTTGTGTTGATTTTTTGTCTCCAGAATGCTCAGATGAACTCTTGGCCACCGAGTCGGCAGGTGCTGATGGGGTCGTGGCACCAGGTGCCGAGTCTGGGGTCCCAGAGGGCGGTACAGCAAGTCATCCCCGACACCCTCGCCCCAGACAACTGGAGACAGTCAATCATGGTGGGCGGAGACACTTTTGACCAGTCTTCAACTGTATTACCACTGGTGAGTAAGCAGATACTGTTCACCTTCTGTCCCCTTCTTCTTTCCCCTCCTTCTGTCCCCTCCTTCTTTCCCCACTCAAGAAACAATCAAACCTGGTGAAAGGTTCAGGTCTATAGCTGTGATGTGCGATACCATTCTTGGTGTTCTTGACATGATATTGCTGGCATACTGCATAAAACAACACTTACTCAAGCTTAGTTATGGGTGTAAACCAGAATGTTGACAAGTTACTGTATCAACAGAATTTGTTGTGTTTAATACATTTTGCTAGAGAAACTCTTGTTTAGTTTATTGTTGTACAGGTTTATTAATCCCCTGTGACTACCATGTTTCAGAACTCCACCTCCCAACACTGGAACATAGGAATGGTGCCTTCAACGTACGGGCTGTCAAGCAGACAGAGCTCAGGGCAGTCCTCCAGCAAGAGACAGACAAAACAAAGGTGAGCTACCAACATTATAACCACATGCAAAGTTAGTATTGCTATTTATTCCTGTCCATAGTCTTCTGTTTGTTATTTGTTTGTGTTTTTAAACATTGAACAAGAATAAATTAATAAAATTAATGTGCTGTATCAATGTATTTCGGGGGCCTTTTTTGCCTGGTAGAAAGGAGCAAAATGTGGCCCAGTCTATTGTGCTACAATTTGCTTTTGACAGTTGCATCCCTTGGGTGTGCTAGGATCCTAGTATCTTAAGTTCAAGTTTGATTATGATCTTTTATTTGTACCATACCCTTACCTTTGCCTTGGTAATGGGTTTTGCAAACTGGTCAATTTCTTAGATCTACATCGCTGCAGCGGAAACGCTGTGATATGACTGAAGCTGTGTTCAAAGCTGTATTAAACCAAGCACATTCCTAACTGTTAGGAAAGACTGGTAAACATTCTTTCTCCAACATAGGAGCAACAAGGAGGTCACCTCAACGCAGTTCTCCCCCGTAAAGAAACGAGTGAAGGAAAATTCGCCACCACAGTCCGAAGTAGTCGGGCAGGACGAGACATTACAGATTTCTGATTGGTCGGGTTCCCTCCGACCAAATGTGCCTCATTCCAACTCGCGTCACACTATCGTGATTCGTGACACGCCTAGTCCCGCAGTCAGTGTCATCACCATCAGCTCCGACAGCGACGACGACGTGGACAGCTCAGGACATCACTCACACCGGTCCAGAGGGTAAGCAGCTGACAGCAAGACGGCAGCAACTTGTTTTGATTTCCATCTTCCACACACATCACACACATCACACACATCACACACTGGCAGTGTTTGTAATTAAGAATGTGGTCCTGGTGGCTTTGGTGGCCCACTCGTCTAAAACGCCTCAATTTACTGTGCGGAGTTGCTTCTCTTGGACACGCCTGAAACCTATGGTTGTGGGTTCAAATCCGACTATGTTTCTACCATACCTTCTGGTGTACCCCGCCGTGATATTGATGGAATATTGCTAAAAGCGGAGTAAAACCATACTCACTCACTCACTCCGTCACGCCGAAGACCCGGGTTCGAATCCGGACATGGGTACTATGTGTGAAGCCCATTTCTGGTGTCCCCCGCCGTGATATTGCTGGAATATTGCTAAAAGCGGCATAAAACCAAACTCACTCACTCACTCACTCACTCACTCACTCACTCACTCACTCACTCACTCACTCACTCACTCACTCACTCACTCACTCACTCACTCACTCACTCACTCACTCACTCCTGTGCTAATTTGTTTTACCAAAATGGCAACTGTCTAAGACATGTATCAGTTAGGAATTTCCTCCCTCATAAAGCTGACATGCTGGGACATGACAAGCATACTGTTAAAAGCATCGTTACACCCAACTCACTCAAAGAGTCCTCTTCATAAGCCTAATCTTGAAAGTCAGATGTTTCTTGGTTCCTAGGTTGAAATATCAGCAGCAGATATGAAGGCTTCAATGCTTAGTTTAACATTTATTCAATGAATGCAATGTAACAATATACAAGAACCTTATATGTGTTGAGTACAGTGGGAGCCTGTGTTACAGATCGCAGCCAGGGAGTGGTCGCAGCGCCCAGCATACACTGTCTGTGGTCAACAGCAGTGGAAGCAGTGGTCCATCATCAGCTGAGGTTTTCGGTGAGATAACGTGTCCTTTTCCCTTGGCGCCATGCCAACATGTTGAAGTAGATCTGATTCCTGTTAAGTGTCTCTCTTTGATGGTGTGAAGGTTTCACAATGATAACAAATCACTTTATTCTAAGTTTAGACTTAGATTCAGATTCACAACGTGATCTTGACTCATGACTGTCAGAAGTCTGTGTTTTACAGGGTTAGATACAGCCACTGGTTATCCCAAATATTACATTTGTTACATTTGACCACTTTCTAAATGGCATTGTGTATTCACTGTTAAGTGACCTGTCGTTTTGTACCAAAATCTAGATATTTTGCATGAATCTCTCGCCAAAAATGAGCTCTGGACTTGTAGGATGCGAACAATGGTGTCTACACCGGGTTTTGGTATTGGATTTCAAAGGTTGCTTTCTTGAAGGAAAGATGGCAAAATTTGATGTTGGTCATTATCCATAGGATAATCAAAATTCCTAGATGTATTCTCGTTGAAAGGATCACTTAAAAGTGAGTCAAACATTAACCAAGGCTGTAATTTTGAGTGTATTTTGCAGCAATTTCTCAGTGCCAGCGAAACATGAGCTGTGTGACGGTCCCGGACGGCCAGGAGTCCGACACCGAGGAAAGTGGCACATCGTCCGGCAAGAAGAAAGTCGTCTTCATGCCCATTAAACATGAAGATTTTACTGGCGCCACCAGTCACACGAACTGTCTGTATGGGAGCCAGGCGATTGGTGCAAGTGGGAGCACCACATCGTCTGCCTCCATGGCATTCGTGCCCCCGAACTTGTCAAACTCCTCCCGGAAACCACGGGAGCAGGCCAAAGTCACCCCCTACATGGCCAACATTCCACAAAAAGAGATGCCGGTATCGCAAGGAAGCAACCGGTTCCGAGTACGAAGCCCCAAACAGGAAATAAGATTACCTCCTCTGGAGGTTGAAGTTTCTACAGCTGCAGCCCAAGGAAAGCTAGCTTACGTTTCCCCAACTGTTAGATCAGTGGCCAACCCCTCCATCAAAATCAACAGTCAAACAGCAAGTAGTGCAGCCCAGTCTTCAAGCCACCGGCACCGACCAGGCAATCTAAATTTCATCCCACGCCAACAGGCAGGAACTAGTGTCAACCAGTTGTCACCTGTTCAAGCCAGTGTACAAATAGGACAACCTGTCCTGCTTAATCCAGCTTCTCAGGTTGAGATTCACAGGTGAGTTGACACCTTTGAAAATTACTGTTAATTTGTCATTTAGTTCCATCTTATTTCCTTTGAACTAAATTTGTTCACTTCTGCTTGTTCTCTGACAACAGATTTTGCGCAATGTTATTGTTTTTAAAAAGTGCCCTCATTTGTCAATTTTCTCAACGTACGAGATGCTTACTAAGGTAAATAGGGTACATTCAGTATGATTATAACTATAGATCATTTGTGGCACCTTTATCGCTCTTTGTGAGGTAAGTTCAATGAAGTGTGAGACCACACCATTAGAAATTGAGAAGGGAGGGGAAGTTATTTTGTCTGGAGATAAGATATTTTTCAGCTACAGCTGCAAAAAAAGATATATTTTTAAATTAAATCTATGAGCCTGAATATATATGAATATTTTTAATCACATTGCAACAATGTAATTTTTGTGGCAGACAATTTCTTCTTCGTTTTCATCAGCAACCTGAAACATACTTATACTTTTCCTGAATTTTCTGGAACAATTATTTTCCCCCTGATAAAATGCCAGGCACCACCCCACCCCACGAGAATATCATCTGGTCATTCCCTTAGATTTGTTCAAAATTACTCATACTAAAGTGATTCTTGCATATTCCATAGATCTTTACCCTTGAAAATCGGGTTAGAATTGGTCTTTTCTGCAACCCATGCTTGTCGTAAGAGGCGACTTATGGGATCAGGTGGTCAGACACACTGATTTGGTTGATCTATTGATCCTATTCCACTTACACTGATGCCAGAGCTGTCTAAAGTGCCACAATTGCCTGTGCAAAATCCATGTAGAACCTTTGTTTACCGTGATTATGTTTCAAAGTCATCAGCACTACACTTGTGATTGTGGGTTTCACCAATGTGGAAAATGTCTAAGACCTGCTTCATTTTGGGCTTTCTTCCGACATCAAGCTGACGAGCTGAAATGAAATACTGTCCGAAGCAGTGAAAGACTAAACCCCCTCATCTTTTCTCAATGTCAAGTACTTATTTCTCCCTTGATTGTGTTCCAGGGAGTACCGTCGAGGCCCCACATTACAGAGCAGTCCGATCCACCACTACATCGTCCCTGCCCACCAGCAGCCCCAGATGGCCATCCCAGCAGGGGTGGGGCAGTACGGGCCATTTTCCCCAAACATGGCCCCTCCCCCTGCGCACCAGAGCCCCCGCCACGTCCAGTACACGACCCACCCCCTCCCCGCACACATGCATCCCGTGCTGCATACGTCCAGTATCCCCACGTACCACACCCAGATCCACCCGCAGTATGCAGGAGGCGCCAATTATCTCAACTCATCAGCTGGTGGGGTGTACACCACGTACCAGCTCAGTCCAATCAAAGCAAGGCAGTATCAGTATTTTGCGGGATAGGGTGGATGTGGTATGCAATTCCTGTAGATATCTGACTGGTTGTCTGCTCTTGAATTGAGTTGCACCTGTTAGCCGATATTTTGGGCATTTATATGTATATTTTGCATAAATGGGACTGTTGAATTGAAGTGACAGCTTCGAGAGAGTGTCGACATCTATGAATTAGTCCCATAGTGATGGGTGCAGGTCAAGTCAAGAGAGACAACCCAGGCTTCAGATCTTCCCACGTGCCAACTCGCCCCTACAGATAAAGCCTGTTACCATGGTTACATACACTGAGAAACGTCATTGGCTGGTGCAGCAAATCCCTGATTTTCCTCAATATTTGTGATACTTCTAAATGTGTGATTATTTTCCCAGAAAAGCACCAAGTTATTTGGCAGTTACACTTTCCACAGTGCATTAATATCTTACCATGTCTAACGACAGATTTCGTACGTATGCACACACCCCGACAACACTCAGATTATGGTGGAGAACTGACTACAAACAAGGCAACGTAATTTCAGCTTCCAAGATTCCTTGCAGGACTTGAGTGGGCTTCTCGGAGTCTTGAGAGAACCTATTTTCATGAACTGTCTCCGTCAAGATAACTTGAGTCACATGTACCAAAAAATGCTGTTTTAATGAAAAGCAGGAGGTTGTGATAGCCTAGGGCAAAATGGACAAACTGGCTTTCGATTGGCTTCAGTGCTTCTCACTACAATGCATGGCAGTTTCCCATATTCATCACTGTTTTTGCTTTGTTATTCATTACTCAAGATTTGATCTGAATTAGCCACTGAGTTTGCATTTTAACAGAAATATTGTTAGTTGACTAGAGTATGTGGATTACATACAGTAGCTGTGGTTTTGTTGTCGCTCACAGGAATTTGCAATGAAATTTTTGCTTGTGTTTGCTTAACAAGATTTTCTATATAACTATTATGTATATTGTTGAATGGGATATTGTCTTATCATATTTTATAGGTTTAACCTTTTTAATACATTGTAGCCATGTATTTTAGCATGAAATCAAATATAGATTAATGGGATACACGTCTGTGATTGTCACCAGATGGGTTCGCAAGCTATCGTAGCTTCTAAGACTGTTGCCAGAAGGGGCACTTGGATGCAAGTAGAGAGCCAATATATGATATTTTTATAGGCTAGACTATTTGGAAATTGGAATCAATGTATTTTTCAAAGTGAGTGTCTATTATATTATAATCGTTGGTGTTGTATGGAAATACATGTGTTTTTTGTCACCCTGCATACTGCCGTTAATTGGAAAAGTTGGTGCACCATAGTTGTAGAATAGATGTTATTTTGATGTTAGACCTATTTTATTATTCTTATTATCATTATGATATTTAATATTACTATTGTAGTTCTTATTATATCACATTGTAGTTTGAAGTTTCATGTTGTTCACCTGTAGTCTTGAAACTGGGCAATTGGCTTGATGTGTCCATTTCGATTTCGGGAGGTCTGCATTAAAGAGGGTGCAGATAGGGCAGTGTGGAGTTTAAAGGGGATAAGACTGAAAGAGGCAGACAAGATTGCTGGAAAGATTAAATTTTCCTAATGGGACAAATTATCTAAGGTTTGCAGATTCAGTGCTGATAGAAGGGCCGGGAAGTTGTGATACAGTCAGTGGTGTACTGTTCCGAGGTTTGTCACAGATCATATTGCCCAGTCTGCACCCTCAGGGTTTTATGTGTTTACGGACATAATTGCAAATGTCCTCGCTCATGTTTCTTTGCCTTATAAGCTTGCATGGTATTGGGATCAAATTTAACAGTTTAATAATTGTATTTAATCCAATTAACATCTGGTACGAAATTTTGAAAAAAATGAAGTAATGTCAATTTCATGGTAAAGTCATTGATACTTATGCAGTGTTGATATGACATTAATTATCGGTTAGTAATAGTCCATTCATATCTTTGAAACTAAAGTCATTTTACAAATTCGACATTAAATTATGGTCCTTATACTATGCATGTCATGAGTTTTTGTTTTCAGGTTAATCACCAACGTCCAATTGTTGTTTGGTTGTGGTTTAATCTGGAGTCAACAGTAGGACACCTTGTGTATAAGCCGTACTTCCCTACCCGCAGCTCCCTGTGTGTATGTGTGGGTGTAAGTGTGGCTGTAGTGTGATAGCTTTCATGTTGGAATGTGGCGTAGCAGGTATTTTTTTACATGCCAGTATTTATATGTCTTTCAATATTGAAGCATTAACTCTATGATGTCATTGTGTCCTTTCGCAGACTTGTGCTTTTGTCGTCTATCTGGCATTGGTGGCGAAATGTGTGTATTGGGTGAAAATTATGTCTATTGAGTTTCCTTGTTATTGTGAGATAAGTCTGTCCTTCGTGTGGTTGGAACGTCATATCTGACTTTGGATTCCCTGTGTGTACCCTTTTTAAAATGGATATATTTTTGTTGGTGAAATATTTCATGGCATTATTTAATATGTCATTCAAATGTTAAGACTAAGTGTTGTAAAATATATATATATCAAATGAAAAAAAAAATTTGGTTATTTCAGATCTTGTAGTAACATATGCTTCTAGGCATATCAATAGCAAAGTGTCAGGAAGATTTAGGTTACAGCCAGAGCTTAAGTTTCATTATTTCAAGTGATTTTGAAAGGTAAGTTATCGATCGGGGCATAAATTTCTGTATTTTGGAAGTGTAAGTTATCGATCAGAACATTAATTTCAATATTCAAGTGGGTATTATTGGGATAGTATGATATAGAAAGGTGGGATATATTGATCAAAGTTTAAATTCCTGTTTCAAGTTCCTATGATTTAGAATTCAGACCTTAATATTTCATATTTCAAGTCCGAACAATGTCAGAACAAAAGCACAAGTTTGTTGATTATTTTATTGCATGTTTGGCATTTGTCAATCTGCCTTGATTACATAATGACTTATGATGCTGGATGACGGTATAAGTTAACTACAGATTCCCGTACCTCAGAGGGGGCAAGCTCCACGTCCCCACGTGTATATATGTATTGTAAGATGGTCATTTTTATATCCAAATACTGCAGTTTAGTGAAGACCAGGTGCAGGTTGCCCTCGCATGGCTTCCTAGCATCTTCTACCCAACTTGTGGAAGAAAGACATGTTTCCAAGTGTATTCCCAAGCCGCTGTGGTAAAACTATCCAATCAGGATTTTAAGATGGAGTTTATGTACTTAAACAATGCTGGAAGATATGAATTTCAAATTGCAAATACTCTATGTGAATATTCCTTGTCCAAGACTTGTGTATAGTGTGATGCTATTATGTATAAAATTGCACTGAACTACAGGTCAAATTGTAAGATACAGAACAGAAATTTATATTTGTACTTGTCCCCACGCGAGAACATAATTGTCCAGTCTCTAAATGATTTTGTGTGGTAACTAAGCACGAACATAAACAACAAAGGGCAGAGAAACTTGCTGGTTGGGTTTGATGTTAATTTGTTCTTATGTTTCCGTTCACAAAGAATTTATGAGATTGCAGCTTGGCTTGCTATGTATGTATAATGTATATTGTTTTTTGATTATTATTTAACTATTATTCAGGAATTTTTGATGTTGGAAGGTGATGATTGACTCTTTGTATTAATTTCTTCCACTTATTTTTCAAGTGTGTTGAGGTCACTTAAAGTGTGAGAGTGTTGTATTTTAACGTTGCTAATATCACCAGACAATCTTTAGTAGATGTGGATGTATTTATTGTCGATGCAAGGAGTTACATATTTGTTCAAAATCCAAAGACTATAGAATTAGCCGAGTTATTTATTAATGTAACAAAGTGAGCATGCGTGTAATGTATTACTATCAAAAGATTTTCCCATGTGGGTATTTTGATATACAGTTTCATTGTAATTTTGGTATTTTGAAAGCCATTTCTAATCCGTGTTATAATTGCTAAGTATTTGAAAGTTGCTCTCAGGAGAAAGGTTCCTCAGTGTTAAGTGTATAGGTTAAATTATTGCTGTTGTTTTGTCTTTGGATTCTGCACAAACAGGAATGGGAGAGATTTTTTAATACCTAGATACCCAGATTTATCTCTGGCACTGCATGTCAAAACAATTGCATTTTATTCTTGTGTATCTAAGAGGAATATTGAATATATATTTTTTGTCAAACTTCATTGTACAATTCAGATTTCATACCAATAGAAGAACTATATAGAATAGAGTTGTTGCTATGTTACACCTAACCACAAATTAAGCATTGTGTACTGTGCTCACTGCATAACTCCATGTAACCCCGAAGTCCTAACAGGATCCTATAGAATTTTAAAACTTGGGTGGATTGGCTTCCTGATCTCCTAATCACAGTGTTTTGGTATTTTATTTGTGTGGTCAACTTTGTATGACGTTAGCATTTTATCACCAGTCTACTTAGTATTGATTTCTGTAGCACTTCATTGTTAGAGGTATCTTAATATTATGTATTCGTTGTGTACGGGCACACTCTGACTCTTGATCCCACGTATTTAGTGCTGGTGTTAACCTACTTTCCGTTTCTAGCTCCATGTGTCAGTTTTATCATTGGCAGGTGTTGAAAACACCTATTTTGTTATTACATATCAATGAGTCATGGATTTTTAGAATGAAAAATGTTGAAATTTCAAATTTGAAATTAATTAGGTTTGGTTGTTGGGCATTTGGTAGGGGAAATAACTGCATATATCAATATAGAACCTTTCACTGCCTGTTGTATATCTTCATTGTAGAAAGTTTCATGTCATTTTGTAAATTGACCATCAATTTGTAAAACCTTCCAATTTTTTCCCAATCGAGTTATTTTTCTTTTGGAAGATACAGAATTTCATGAAAGAATATCACTTGTGAAAAGTACATAAACTTAAAAAATCATTGTCTCATAAAATTTTGAGAATTTCTTCACATTTTCACACTTCATCGCAGTAACCTCCATGGTAGTTGTCATATTCATTGCCACTGCATTTGCGCTGATCTTGTCACAGACCTAGGAAGTTGTATATTAAAATTGAGATTAATACTATCCTGCTATTTTCACTAATTTTCATTACACAGTATATAGAGTTCAACATTATTTCCATGTTATTTCATATTATATCCATAACTGGTATTTACTATTTAGTCTATCACCTAAATGTCATAGCATTTAATGACCCATATTCATTCCATTGACACTACTCCAATATAGCAGGTCAGAGTGTGGCCCAAATAGCTTTATTCGGTTTTAAATTATGCATTTTATATTTTTATCTAGTCAGTATAGCTAAGCGTGTGAGTGTTTTCTAGTTGCAGCAACCCTAGGGTACAGTAGGCTTGAATCAAAGGGTGATGATAGTTTGAACTTCTAATCCCTACCTTTTGTAGACAGCATTACATTTGATGGTAACTAATTATTTTATTCGTCTTACATATATCTACTATTACTGGTCTTCTTTCCTTCAATTTGGTGGTAGTTATTTTTCTGTGACTTCATCTTCTGCTGTGTGCAGTTAAGGTTGCTCTCATTGAACATTTCACATCTTGTGATTATTGTGGCGATATTCCCTTTTATTGAGGTCAGCTGGCTGACTGAAGGATCTCTCGGTAAAGTGCTGTCAAAGTTTGGACTGGAGTTATTTTTAATTTGAAACGGAAAAAAACCCTGCCAAAATGTGAATATTATTCACTGCAATATTGTTAAAAGACAATGTTACAACATTGTTTAGTCACTGTGTGATTGTGTATATGGGTATTTGTGTATACCTGCTGTTGAATAGATTGCCAGAACACTTTGATTCTTGTCACGGAATAAAGACTTGTCCAAGTTCTGTGAATTAAATCAAAGGAGAATGGTGTCTTGTCAGAAGAATGGCCAAGTACATCTCACCATTTATAAAGCAATATCCCTACCTGGTTAGCATAACAACTTTGTCCATCTGTGCAGTTGTTCCTCTAACAAGGCAATTGTTGATGTATTAACTCTTTTAACTCTTTTACAAACCTGTTCAAAATTTTGACAGCACTATAATTGGTGAAAAAATGAGCAAGAAAAAAAGGATTGTTAAATTTGTTTGTCATTTCACTTGAAGGGAACATTATTTTCCATGAAATATTTTTTTGTGAAACGTGAGATTATTTATATATAAAAAAAAATATGCCACTTGACAAAGCCTATGGCTAACTTTGTGTTATGGGTAAGTACACAATGATAAATAGCAAGTGTTATCCGAATGTTAGTTTGTTTTTCACACCATACCTGTGTGCAATACTATTCTGAAGTGGTTACTAGGTGTCATGGGTTCGCCAACCACTCTGTATCTCCAATGCTTGGCCTCCGTGCACAGTTGCAAGTCCATTGTAGAACCTAACTCATTCGGGATCAATTGGGATTCAATTAAAGTATGAGTATTCTTGATGTCCGACTTCTGTTTTCTCTGTTTTGTGTGAAGAGAGTGAATGATTAACAATGTAATCAGCAATATTCAAGCTGTATGATAGGCACAGGACCCAGTGTTGCAAATGAACACTATCAGCAGATCGTGGGTTTGAGTCCAAGATTTGCCCAGATCATGATGCTTGGTTTGTCCACACCATGTTTTTGTTGGTTTCGCATCTTGGAATAACATCCAATCCTCCCATTTTGAGAGGACATGCAGTGACACAAGTCACAGCATCGATGAACTCAACATCCTTTTCTGAAAGTACCACATGATCTGTTACCCCTCATAATTTACGAGTCATTTTGGTGTTTCTCTAACATCCTGTGATAACTGAAATATGGTCAAAAGTTACTCTCATTCACTTGATTCACTGATCCCTTGATTGTGGGGTGTCCCTGACACTTGCTCATATCAATCACGGGATCGTCTGAACTCGACCGACCGCCAAGCTGTATTATTGCCCGCCAGGCCCAGTTGTGAAAAGGACTGCACTTGGCAGTGTTGTGTCCCTTTTGAGCGCCAGAACCCACTCATCATTATCCCTGGTACATGAGCACTGGGCCCGTGCTTGTGGGTTCCACCAAGGTCAACGGGTGGAATATTGCCAAGAGTAGTGTAAAATAGCATTCACGTAATAGGAAACCCATATTCAGGAGTCCATATTTCCTGTCGGCGCCCCTTGTATGACCGTTTATGACGTCTACGTTCTATTGCCTTAGTTTCTCAAACAATCGGGACGGTTGAAGGGCGCGTTTAATGATCATTGTCAGTACAACATGACATTAGTCACGGCATTATCTGATCGTATCTCTCTCTCTCTCTCACACACACACACACACACTCTCACACACACAGACTGTGTAATGGCACATTTATTTGGAGGCCTGTCGTGGATCAACTCCACTGTATATTGCCCAATGTTCTAGAGGTTATGACAAGGGCCATGTGCTCATCCGAGGTATTGTAAGTAAGTAGGATAATCATTTGCTAGATTGATGTATACTACTCAAAAGAAGTTAAAGAACACCCGATTTTTTTCATATGGCTATAGTTAACTTCTTCTGAGTTGTATAAATTGCCATACAGATTATATGGTCATACGAAAAAAATCGGGTGTTCCTTAACTTCTTTTGAGTAGTATAAATGTCTCAACTGCTCCCGACTGGTCAACGTTTTTTCGTCATGACAACCGGTGCTCAGTTGCCTGCACGGGTTCGGTGTGTGAAGTCCATCTCCGTCGTGATTGGATGGAATATTGCCCAAAGCGGCGCTCAACAATATGTCCTGGTTGATAGAATGTATAATCAACACTACACATGCACACACGCACATTACCAAAACAAATTTCCGTCTGTCATTGGATCGTTACTAATAATTAATAATACGCATGTTGTATGCTATTCCTCTGGTAATGTCCGCTTCTTATCAAATAACTGACATGCCGTGTATATCGACGTGCCTGCAAGTCACTGCTTTCACCAGACACCTGCAGTACTTGGTGGAACGAAACACGTCATAAAAGACCGACACTTCCCATATGGTGGTTAGACTCGGAATTGTGGTCGATAATGTCATATATAAAACTGAATCTGGGGGATAAAAACAACAACTCCCCTCTTATGTTATATTAAACTGTCTGGAACGTCCATTTACATGAACAAGAATTGATTTTCTGGTCCTATATTGCTTTTCACGAATGATAAAATAACCTAGGATGCAGCCTGCGCGGTCTCTGTAAAACACGTATCAAGCTGCGCATAATAATAGGGGCCAGTGTAATACAAACCCATTGTGTAGGTCGTGGATGCTTGCATATATTTGTATTCTACAGGTGGGCTTCAGATGTGATCGATCATCTACGTTGTACTATTGAACGCGTTTCACATTCAGACGTACAGCCCGCACGCACCTGCTGCTGACTATAACACTGAGAAAATATTCCTGCGTTAATTTGAATATTTGCACCAAGGCAGCTACATGTTTACACTCGCACTTACAAAAATATCTTGCTGCAAAGTGAGATTGGTTTAACGCTGCTTTGAACAGAAGATAATATATAAATACGCACGCACGCACGCACGCACGCACACACACACAATCATATATATCAGGCCTGATGAGACTGGTACGTGGTACGAGTTGAAGGTGAGGTGAAATTGGGTTTATCGTCGCGTCCAAGATTATTGCGCTTATATAGCGACGTGTACACACGTGTATGTGTGTGTGTGGCTGCTTGTATTAGTCCGGACTGATGCCGATTTATAGTGCTAGCACATGAGATATCATGCCGCAGTTTAACATGGATACCCCACTCAGACACAGTATACTGACTCCGAGCCGACCAGTCCTTGTTTTAGCCCCTTAATGCCGAGCGCCAGACAGGGTAACAACAAGTACCATCTTTTGGTATGACGCGGCCGGAGATCAAACCCCGGACCTTCCGCTCTCCGGGCGGACGCTCTACCACTAGACCAAGGAGGCGGTGGTACGAGTTGAAAGCGCTATCCAATTAAAACTGTGTTCAATCTTACTCCACTTATTTATTATTGACTATTATATATATATATATATATATATATATATATATATATATATATATATATTGCTTGTCGTACAAGGCAATTTAGTGTATCGGATGGTCAGACTCCGTGACTTGTTGAATGCGTCACATCGCTCGGCATGGAATGTTGCTCATATAAACCATTCGATTGTCTGGCCTAGACTCGACCTTTTTACATACCACCGTAACACGACTACAGTATTACTGACTGTGGCCTAAACCAACATACGAATCAAATCAAATCAAATTAGCCCGAGTGAGTGAGTCATTTTTAGCACTATTCCAGCACTGTCACAGTGGAAAGGCGCCACACTTCGCTGTGCAGAGTTGCGTCCCTTGGGCACACCAGAAACCTGATTGTTGGTTCGCACTGATTATGTTTTTAGGTTTGTCAGCAACATACCCGTGCTCGTGGGTTTTACTGAAGTGGTAAACGTCTGAGACCTGCATCATTTCGGGCCCTCCCACATTAAGTTGACTTGCCGTGATATAACTGGAATACTGTTAAAATGGCGTTAAACCCCACTCACTCACTCACTCACTCACTCACTCACAGTGGGAAAGTAAGCAGAGGGACAATGACAGCGTCCAATCTTGTGAACGGTGCTCCTGTTGTATAGGCTTTGATATGTCGAACAAATCGAGAAAATCTACATTTTTGGAATTAAGTTTAAAAGATAATAATATCATGCTATCACTACGCTATTAGAATAGTGGTGTTACCATAGCAATGGTGTCGAGTTAATCACCATGGTGATAGAACAGCTAAACAGTCATTTCACGTCCATAACTGGCTTCCAAAGCAGATCAGGTGAGTTTAGGTAATATCTCCTTGGAGATATCACTATAATGAAATTGCAGCTGTCCTTGCAGCCCATTATTATGTCATCGGTTACCATGAAGTCGGAATCAAATGGCTTTACTTTTCTCTGAACCACCCGGTCCCGTTAGTCGCCTCTTACACGACAAGCATGGGTTGCTGGAGACCGATTCTAACCCGGATATTCACGAGTCTTCCCAATTTCGTGAAAAACGTGTATCGCCAGCGGGATTCGAACACGCGGAGTCCATACCGAAGGCTAACAAATGTTGTCTTACGTCACAACCACAAGGAAGAAATCATGCGGAATCAAAAATGATATTTTTACTATCATCAAGACGAATAGTTAATCCGTTTATGAAGTGGAAAACAGTTCTTCAGTTTGTTATTATGTACATTAAACGTAAGTGTGATTTGGTAGCTTTTCAGAGCGTCTGCAAGGAGAGGGGAAGGTCGGGGCACGATCCCCGGCCGCGTCATACCAAAAGACGTTTAAAAGATGGTATTTATTGTTACCCTGTCTGGCGCTCGGCATTAAGGGGCTAAAACAAGGTCTGGGCGGCTCGGAGTCACTATACTGTGTCTGAGTGGGGTATTCATGTTAAAATGCAATGCAGCATGGTATCTCAGTGGGCTAGCATTAGTCCGGACTTGTACAAGCAGCAACACACACACACCCAACACACACACACCGCTATATAAGTGCAATAATCTTATACACGATGTTAAACCCCATACCCCATTTCCCCTCCCCTCACCTGGGAGCTTTTCGTTAAAATTACTCAAAATAGGCCCATAAACATGGGCAAATAATATTTCTGTGATTGTAGAGTAGATCTTGTTTTTGCTTGTCCTTGCACGTGCCTTTCACAACCGAGTCGTCAAAAAGCGAGATGCACGTGCCAAAGTCACAGGGATCATATTTCGCGTGCATCATACAGGGCCGACTCCACGGTGTTCTCACAGTTGTTTTTAACAATTTAGATGCTGAGGTTCTTTAAATGTTGGCAAGCCTCGGATATTTGTAACATTTATCAACTCGAATACATGACACTTTTAATGGATAGCAACTTCTTTTTTTCTTTGTCACAACGTTTCAGAGCTTTTCCTCCATCAGGTCAGTCATTCACCTGATGAAGGAGCAAGACCTTGTGACAGAATGAAAGAAGTTGCTATCCATAAAGAAGTGTGTATTCATTTATCAACTCGTCTTGACGTATTGGACTTCGGAAGACACTCGACGAGATTCTGAATATATCAGATAATAAACAACCAAGTTGACATAATCAACGATTGGGTCTTTTAATATACGAAAACCTTTCACAGACATTAAACCCTGCATTCTCACCTTTCACTGATAAACGCGACCGATCTGTCCACCATGCAAACAGGCCTCTGAATTCTCAGGCCTCTGAATCCTCAGGCCTCGGGTCACGAGACGCCCGCCCTATCAAAAGGGGGCGTTCCTGTCGTTGTTGATAACACACAAGTTAAACTACAGTGTCATGCTGCCGCAGTCGACTAGATGACCCACAGAGGTTATCCGTGAAGGTGAGGATGTGCTTATATATTTATATACTGTTTTTGTTGAGTTA